TTCCCAAACTCATCTTCAACGATCGGTCTGTAAAAATGAGAATGGACAAGGCCAGACTTTGTCCAAGCAACAATCATCTCTTTAGGGTATTATTCAACAGGACACCTGAGCCTGTTTAACAACTCACATGTGTCAAGAATGGCTGTCACACCTCTTCTCCTTCCCTCTCTTTCCATTTAATGTTCCACCCCCCTAAACGAGGCTGTTGCACCCATTCCTTTGTGCTGGCTCTGATACTCAGACTGATTCAGTTTGTTCATCCGGAAAGAATGTGTTGGGTTTTTTTTCTTGCATGCATTAGTTTCATGCTGGTTTAGTGAGTTCAATCAGCTCAGTGAACAGCCTGAATGGAAGACCTGGCATGAGAGAACTGAAAGTACGTACCTGGGAGCAGAACCAGCCTCAAGTGGCAGCAGTGAGCCATTAGTACAGCTGTATTCATGAACTGTACTTTCTGAAACAATTAATTAAATAGCTCATAAAATTCTCATGATAAAATAATTAAATTATTTCCAGAAAGATCAATGGGATCTTGGATTTTAGGCTTTCATTTTCTTTTAATTATCTTATTCTTGAAGTTTAAGCATGCAGAAACTTTGTACAAGTTCTTTGAGAGGAGCTGCAGAGTCAGAGCATTTCTACAGAGACATACCAACATCTATTTACTGGGAAACTCAAAACCTCATCCAGGACAAAAAAACCCCAAACAATTAAAAACCTCCATAAAATCCACTTCTTCGGAATTCATTCTTTGGCAGTTCTTTGGCCAATGCAAACCTGGAATCAAACTTGATTACCACCCCTAACTACAAAGCCTATTAGCAATAAGGATTTCCTAATGGCAAAATGGGAAGATGAAGCAAGAGCTTTTTCTCTTTCGCAAAAAAAAAAAAAAAAAGGAAAAAAAAAGTATCAGAACTCAGGCTTCCTTCTGTAAAGGGACTTGTTTTCAAGAAATTTAACTCACAGGACTAATATATTTCATCAATGACATATTTCAACACTACTTTTCTAGAAGTGTTTGTGAACAACACGTGCTTTTCAAGTGTTCAAATTGGCCACTACTCCAATCACAGCCCCAACCTTTTCATAGTTTGAAATCATAATTAATTTTTTTAATATCTGAAAGGAAAGATGCAATCCATTTGCTACAGGTGCAAGTGAGGAAACAGATTTTTAACTTGTTTCACATGACGACTTCCTAGCACCAGATCCAGAAGAGCATTTCAGGAACGTACATGAAAGATTACTTCTAGGTACAGTAAAACTATGCATCCAGTGCCTATCAGAAATAGAATTCAGCAGGGACTCAGAAACTAGAAGTCTCAAGACCTCATACATGCTACAACACATGATATCCTACATGCATAAATTGTACACCAGCACTTAATAAAGCAGAGAGCATTTGGTCACTTAATACCTAAGCAGTCAGAGAAGGAAGACCAGCCTGAGTGCCCATCTGTGAAAACCCAGCCATTAAAGCACTTGTCCAAGACTGAGGAGAACTCAGAAGTCTGAAAGGTTTCAAACTCCTCATCTCCTAATTAATGGTATGACTAAAGTATTGAACATTTTGAATGTTTTGCTGAAGCTGAAATACAAGATTGGTAGGGCCAAATATTCCAAAGGTGTACAGCCAGACATGATCACAATTCTCTCCAAACAAACAAATGTAGGTTCCACATCTTGCTCCCAGCACTGTTTATATTCCAAGACTCTTTCAAGAAAACCCATTGTACAGGACGGCAAGTACAACTATAAAATTCTTTCTAGGAGCACTGAAAGAGTACATTATTTTGAACACAAAGGAAAATATATAGGAAAAATATATGTGAAGATTCTTTTAAGAGATTGCTAAATCAGTAAAAGATACAATACTCAAATGAGTATGCAACTCAAAGATTACAATATGTATTAAACCTACAGTTATATGTCACATACCTGCAAGATACAAAGTATAACATGCTTCTGTTTTCAGACACATATTTCCCCACATTTGGAGGGAAGGGGTCACTGCGCTCTTTTCAAAAGGCCGAGTTTTATGTAATCTAAATACTTTTAGATTTATAAATCTAAATACTTCTAGATAATAGCTTTTATCTTTTTATGCACCCTGAAATGTATACATTACAGTAGTAGCAATGTATGCAATACACAGCATTTTAATATTGTTAAGAACCAGACACGAGAAACATCAAAAAGACCTTGTATAGAAAAAAGCAATACAAACAAAACCTCAGAATTTTGAATAAGCCAAGTCAACACCCTTGTACAAACCAGTGCACTCCTTTTCCTGTGATTGTGGACCAATGACAAAATGCCTACATAAAGACATTTTTCAGCTATAAACAGATCAGCAAGCATTTAATTAGGTGATCAAACAAGAATTGACATCTGTTTAATATTTCCCTAAAGAGGTTTATGACAGTTCAAATAGAAACATTTTTATAAACAGGATATGCATAATAAAATTTACAACAGCGCCTCTTCATTTGCACAGCGTACTGTAGAATCCAAATGATTTCCGGAATTGGGCTTCAGAGGGGAACAGTGTAGAGCTGAGGGCTGAATTTACAGTCTTTTCTCACAGAGTTGCAAAACATCCTGTGGCAATTCTTACTATCTCTGTTTGCCCTTGTGTCTAGTTTTCTAGCACTATTTGGTCAATAAAACCATCTTTAGAATAAAACCAGAGGATGTAGAAAATATCTCAGGGGTTTTGAACTATTGATCATCATTACTCATTACATCATCCACTATACTGTGGTTAAAGACTGGACTCCTGTTTTTCCCAGTCAGGTATGGCTGAAAGAAATTTGGTAAAATTAGAACTCGGAGAAGCAGAATGAAGTTGAATGAACAGCTGTAATGAGACAGAATCTGCCGTATTTTTCTAAAGACAAATCTATTTTTTAAGTCCTTCAGAAGCTGTGTATTCTTCTCAATAACATCAGAAAAAAAATAATTATAGCTATCTGACATGGGGTTTTCTGCTTTGAAGGTACCCTAACTGATCCAACGTCTTCTCTCTTTCAGGCTGAAGGACCTTTGATTACACCAGAAAGATACTCTCAAATTACAGGTAGTCTAGAAAGCTGATGGGGTTTATGGCATTAAATTCAAGCACGGCACATTTTGAGCTCCTTTCAGCTGGCTGCCTAACTATTATTTACAGGCCCTAGAACAAGAAAGCTAGGTTGAAAAAAAATGTTTATTGAAAAAATATGCACAGAGAAGTATCAGTTTCCAGCTTTTTTCTGGATGTAATTTAAGTTATGATTTCAAATGACACAGATTCATAACCTGCAAGACCTTGTCAGAGAAAAGAGCCCTGATCAAATAAAAGTCATATACAAATGTGCTCGTATTAAAATACAGAGGTGAACTTCTATCAATAGCAATAATATACGAATGCCTGGGATTCGGGAAGAGTCATTGTCAGGACTGAAAACTCTATCTATTTTTCCAGATTAGAATAAGAAGTGTTTAATTAGAAGTGTTTAGGGAGTAGAACAAGTGTTTAGGAAGTATCCTGATGAGTGCATTTTATGTATTGCTAATCAAGTATTTCCCAGTTTTCTAGATACAAGCAATGCGCATAAGCCCATGTATCCCATTAAAATATATTTTCATTAAGAAGGAATAAAATAAATCCAATTCCAAGTTCTGGTAAAATTTGCTACAAAAATTACACTTCAAAGCCTGAAGCAAAGGATGATACTATCTTTTAAACTCAACTAAAACACTTTGATATGGCATTAATGTTTGATGAATTAATATTTTAATAGTATTTGTTATAATGCATAGTTTTATAACATAAATATTATATTTTAAAGAAGATTTTTAAAATTCTTCATCCTTCATATACTAATTAAACCTTAATATTCATAACAGACCATTTTTCAGGACCACAGACTGTAGCAGTGAGTGAATTAAATAGTTCAATACCTTTATTTGCTGTTTCATATTCACTGATTCTTGTGTGAGGGTTTTTATGTTTGTTTACTTTCCTCTTCAAGATTGGCTATCCTGATTAAGAAGATATGAAAGAATACACACTCCTTCTCTTCTTGGCTTTGTGCTCTGCCAAACCTCTTATCGGTCCTTCATATTTTACACTAAAGAATATGATGCTCCATGATATGGAAGAAGATGATGATGATGATGACGAATATGACGACAATTCTCTATTTCCAACCATTGAACCAATTATACCACTAATTCCTTTTGATCTTTTCCCAATATGCCCTTTTGGATGCCAGTGCTACGTGAGAGTTGTCCATTGCTCTGACCTAGGTAAGAATGAATTTGTGTACCTGTTCTCCACTGAACTCTCCTTTGGAGGATTTGCCTTTTAAAAGGTGAATTCTACAGCTCCATAAATTGCACACATTCACATATTCCTATAGTAGTCATTTTTAAAAGGAGCTTACGTTTTTCAGTTAGGCTTGCAAACCATATCTAATTCACGTCCAGCAACTAATTTGTGTCCAGCACTTCTTACAACATAAATGTTTTCCCAGTTTATGCGCATCAGTTTAGAAAATTAATAAACTGCTACAGCCACCTGCCATTAGCAATGACTTCTACTGAGAACAGCATAGAATGAAAAGGCATTTAGAATATGTAACAAAAAACTGTAAAACTATTTAACTGAATAGTTTATCCACTAAGAGAACAATCATAGAATGCAAAAATGCTTACATTTACATTTTAGATTACACTTTCTCCTGTTTCACTTACTTCCATGAAGTTATATCCAAACAGAGGAGCACAAAAGTTTGCTGTATCCTCTGTTTGCATTACACAAGCTATTAGTCCCCCCTCTCAAAAAAGACTATGGCTAAAGAAGTACTTTATTCACAACTACAAAGCAACAGGTCAAATGACAAGAAAACATAACAAAGGAAAAAGAGGCCATAAGTAAACGACAAGGAAGTTTAACACCAGTGCATAAATGGAATAAAAAATATTTGCTCAGCTTAACTTCCAGTAAAGTGTACATCACTGGTAATATTTTAACTGAAGGCAAATCTACTACTGTCACTGTTGCAGATACATACTAGTCCCAAAATATGAAATCATTATTATGGGCCTGTTGCAATAGGACAAGGGGTAATACTAAATAATAATAATGGTAATACTAAACGAGGGTAGATTCAGACTAAATAAAAGGAAGACAATTTTTTACAATGAGGGTGGTGAAACACTGGAACAGGTTGCCCAGAAAGGTGGTAGATGCCCCATCCTTGGAAACATTCAAGGTCAGGCTGGACGGGGCTCTGAGCAACCTGATCTAGTTGAAGATGTCTCTGCTCATTGCAGGGGGGGGTGGACTGGATGACCTGTAGAGGTCCCTTCCAACCAAAACCATTCTGTGATTCTATGATTATTAATCTCTCCAATTTGAATTAGTGTTCATTGAAGTTTTTCCATGATTCAAGGTAATCAAAGGACTACGTTCCTGCCACTAGCACAGTGACAATGACATTCATTCTCATCACAGCTGTGCCACCACCCTGAACATAATCCCAGACTCCTCATGTCTTAGAAACATTGAGTCAATACATAAATTGCTGGGGTTTTTTAAACGTGCAATTATTAAGGAATAAAAATAAACTTTTGCTGACAGCAATAAGCTACTGTTACTGCATCTGGTTTACAGATTACAAACTGCTTTAAATTCACACATAGAAAAAAAGCCCCTATTAATTGACTTAATCTTTAAATAAGTGTAAATTATTAATTATGGAATAATTGTTAATAAACTGGACCAGCATTTAGTATTTGATGCATCAGCATTTCCACTGAAAAGCAAGTTACTATCCCTTGCTAGTCTCTAGATGCTGATTCAGGATCTCAGATGGCATGAACTGAAGTGTTTTTGTAACTGAACAGTGAACTGGACTGGGGGATTTATACAACTGGTAATTAAGTACTGGCAGCTGGAAGACCATCTTTTGTCCATGACCAAGAATACATTTCTCAGCCTTGATGTTATCTGTATGGCTATACAAGCAACAGTGTCAGTACAATGGATAGGGCAGTGTAGAGGTAGAAAGGAGCATTCAAGCACTGAGCAGAGATCCCTTAAAGCCACTGCAACAGGCCCGTTCCTCGATACAGAACCACAGCCCCAGAAGATCCCCCGAGGGCTGCTTTCTCCAGGGACTTAAGCCGTAGAACATCCTGTGCTCTGAGGCTGCTTATTTCACAGATGCTGCAATGAGCACCCCATTCAAGCTTGTCATGGTCAGGGATAGCAGCAGTTCCTCCTGAAACCATCCACGCATTTTTGTCATACATTCTTATATAATTAGTTTCTCACATTATCAAATATTCCTTTCTATCCTTTGCTTTTTGGCTGTTTATATTTTCTTTCCAATCATAATCATCAACAATCTTACTGTGATTTGCCGTTTAGCAGTTAATTTCTTTGGACTTATATACAGGCATGTAATGTTTCTGTTTATCTCACACACTTAAACAGGTTTGACATCAATACCTCGCAACATTCCACCAGATACTCGTATGATTGACCTTCAAAACAACAAAATTAAAGAGGTCAAGGAAAATGATCTCCGAGGACTCTCATCACTTTATGTAAGCTTGCTTTTTTCCAAGTTTGAAATCTAGCTTAGCGATCTGAAATATTTTTATACTTTTAAAATACAAATGATACTTTTCTTCTCCAATAGTATCCATACAAATACAGTCTAATGCCTGCTTATTTGACTCCTCCCATACAGTAAGAAGCAAATTTCTTTGAGCTGTAAAAACTATGCTACTTTCTACAACATCCAGAAAATGTACCATGTGTATCTAACCAAAAAGATCCTCAAGATTTACTCAGTCCTTAGGATGCACAGAAGCACTCCCTACATTTTAAAGGCTGCAAAACAAGGGCTCCTTTTTTATCTGCTTAGCTGTAAAATAGAAGAACTTAATTTCACAGAAGAACTATTTTCTGAGGGTATTTTCAAAAGCACACAGCATACAACTAACACACACCACTGAAACTAATGTTAAAAATCCAATTGACCTGAACAGACCAACACTGAATTACTGAAAAAGTCATGTGCTTTCCTTCTATTTTTTAACACACTCAAGTATGCAGGTGAAGAAAAGCTTTAAAATAAGTATGACTGGCAACTGATAAATCTAGATATTTACAGTATACACTAATCTCTTTTTATAATGTGTCTCAGAGGCCTGGAAAGGTAGATTAAATCTGTCCTGGAATACTTATTTCCATAAGCTGTCATTCTAGATCCAGTACCAACAAATATTGACAATTTTAACATTTTCATTGTAAAATGACAAATCTATTCCGAAAGTTATAGTAAATTAACGCCATTCTATTCCATATTAGAAAGACATGAAACACACATTAAACTAAGATAAAACAAATCCTTTTCAGTCATATTTGGTTTCTGAGCAAGAACTGAAAATTTACCGGATCTAAGTGTTTATGAATTTGCAAATTATTATGGGTTAAACTAGCATAGAAAAAATAGGAACCATATAAATTCATTGTTTGCAGCAAAGTGTTTCCATTTCCCCTTAAGTGTCCCGTGCCTGAGTACAGAATGGTCTTACCAGCAAGTTAGAGGTAAGCACACTAACTATGGTTTATATTCATTATAAAAGATCTTACAGAAACTAACCTCCAATGACTGAGAAAGTCACTGGAATACATCAGCAATCACCACATTGTATTATGTGGTAACTGAAAACTCTGAGCTGTTTTGATTTCTCTCATCAGTTAATTTGTGGCAAGGCCTAACAAAATTTTTACAGAAAAGAAAGTTTACTTTATACAACTTGTCTGGGTACTAGTCTAGTTAGCAAAGGCATATAGGGCAACTTGGATTAGGAAGGAGCATTTCCTGTTTATTTCCTTAAACTATCCTCTTTTTTTCTGGGAAACAAAGATTAATTCTGATTTGCTCTACTTTTTTTTTTTTCCAACAATTGCAGAGAACAGACGACTTACCAACAAAGAAGAGAAACAAAAATGAATAGTCTAGATATGGAAATCCAGAGATGTGATTTGACATGCAAAATAATTTCAAATAACTCATATTTTGTAGTAATGCATTACAAGTTTTCTGATAACACTTAGTAACCAAGAACAAAAAACAGTGCCAAAAAAGGACTAGTGTACCGTACAGTCAAGAGAGACTTAAATTCAAAGGAGTTTAAAAATTATGGCAAATAAGACATAAATTTGTGTGTGTGTATATAAGTTGTATACAGACATTAACTTTTAAGAAATTCAGATTAAAAACCTGATTTTTATTTTGCAGAACTATGCTGAAAAGATGAAATTCTGAGTTTTGAGAATTTGTCTGCATTAAGGAACAGCAACAACAATAAAAAAGAATATAACCCCCATACAATCCCACAAAATATATAAGACAAACATATTGTTTTGTCAATCATTCTCATTATCACTGGCACCTTGTCAGCTCTGACTAGTTTTTCTCTACCTTCTAGTTGATGCTCTAGCTTCCAGGTTCTTTTTTGCTTTTCACAATCAAGTAAAATGCCCAAAGTATATACAACGTGCCAAAGATTGGTATGAAGGAAAAATAAACTATTTTAAATACTTAATTGTTAAATTATATATCAAATTCATCACTTAAAATTCATAATAAAAACATTCCTGTATAAAGAAATTTTTTTTGGTATTGCTCTTCTCATATTTCATAGGCACTGGCTTTGAACAACAATAAAATATCCAAGATCCATCCAAAGGCCTTTCAACCAACAAAGAAGCTACGACGACTGTATTTGTCCCATAACCAGCTAACTGAGATTCCAACAAATCTACCAAAAACTTTAGCAGAGCTCAGAATTCATGCTAATAAGGTTAAGAAAATCCACAAGGACGTATTTAAAGGAATGAAATCTCTACATGTTTTGGGTAAGTCCAATTAAGTAGAAGAGAAGATATCTTTATCAAAAATGTAACATACCATATATAATTTTCATTCAAATGTTTCCCCAATGTGCAATTTCCTCTTAAAGAGATATCCATGCTGTGGAAACTCTCTTTCACAATTTATTTTCTATGTGAAGCTGCTACATAGGTCAAGTTTCTGGTAACCCTGCAAGCCAAGTTAGACAGCCTTTATTCACTGAAAGCTGTAACTTCCACCCCTCAGAATAGGTAATCAAAGCTAAACATTAATTAATGCTTAGAACATCAGACGTCATAAACAACTAAGTTATAAACAGCTGATTTCATTTTAACATACACAAAATTCCTATGCCATGAATACCTTTTTTTTTTTTTTTTTTCTCCTCTTGGACAGAAATGAGTGCAAATCCTCTTAACAATGATGGAATAGAGCCAGGGGCTTTTGAAGGAGTAAATATCTACCATATAAGAATTGCAGAAGCTAAATTAACTTCAATTCCTAAAGGTATGCTTTGTTTTACCTTTTCTATTTTACCTATACCAGTATACTCCTGGATAAAATGCTTTACCATCTATACGATTATTAAAATGTTAATGAATTCTGTTTTGTATTGTTAATTACTACCAAACCACCTCCTATGTTATTTTTCTTTTTGCACTTAGTATCCAGTTCTACATCTCAAAAGTGTGCATGCGTGTGCACACACGGTCGCTCTCCAGCCCCCTCTCCTGCCTTTTCCCCATCAGGCAGTCCACTCCTCTCAGTCATCCAGAGACTCTTCTCAGGAGAAACAATGTGAAGAAAATGATAAGATGTCACTTCACATCTTTCCCATCAGCCTCTGAAAAGTCCTTACAAAGAAAGGATAAACCCCCTGATATTTGATCTGGGTCATAAGGGATATCGAATTCCCACTTCCTTTATGCATTTAAAGTGAAACCCCAAAATTTCTAACTTTAATTTTGAACATTTCAAGCGACTCTGTAGCTCAAATATGCTCTGCAATATAACCATCTTAATGCAAAACCCAATACAGCATTTTATACGTCTTTTGATGGGGTTTTGCTAAGTAAAATTTAATATTAACATTTTAACTAAATTTAACATAACATACTACAAAATTACATCACTCTTTCATATAAAACAATTAACTTGTGATTTGGAGGTAGCAATAAATTAAAACACTAACTTTACAAATCACTGACCTCCACACACAAAAAAGTAGCACAAAGGAACGCAGTACAACACTCTACCTGCATTTTCTGTAGGTCAGCATAGTATTTCACCAAATTTCCATGATTTTCAACTACTCAAAACTACTAGCTAAGAGAAAAAGGGAGGAAACAAAGCATAATACCATATGTTACATCATTCATTAACTTACAGGGAAACTAAATGTTGGCCCCTAAGATATTTATTTCTGGATCATTCAGATAAAGAACTTGTTTCTTATTAAATTTAATCTCTTCTTATAGACAGATACATATGCAAAAGCATCCCTGTAGAAGAGAGCACCAAACAAAACCCCTCAACAACAAACAAAACCAACTCACTCCAATTGTTCAGATAATTTTAAGATCAGAAACTATCTGGCTGCCTATGGTAACACTCCCCAACACAAAAAAAAGACATTCTTCTAGTATCATCATAATACCATCTCCTGTAACTTAGCACCAAAAAAAATACACAAAATGATTCAGATGTCTTTGTTACAGAGAAATCTCCTATAAGGAAACACAGCATGAGGTCCAATATGTGGTGTCGAATACATAAACAAATCATAAACAAGATTTCATGGTGAACGCATTCTACATAAATGGAAACTAAGTTTGTAGATCCTTCTATCTGCAAATGTTATAATGACACAAAAAGATTTAAAAAATGTAACTTACAAAAGGCACTTAAAATCTAAAATGGACAGACAGGTAGTCTTCGCTTTTAATACTGTAACTCAGACACAAGCAGCACCCACTGGAATTGTAAACTGGAAAAAAGCCCAAACACACACACACCAAAGCATGTCAACTGGCATAAATAAAGCCTGTAAAGCATACCACTTTCCTTCAGTACTGTAATGGTACAAGAAACAGCAATGGCCATGGGAGCAGTGCTCTCCTAAGCCGTATTAGTAACAGAAATATGTGGTTTGTCTTGCTTGGTGTCAGGGTGCCATCTAGACAGATGCTAGTAAAACTGAACATAAGATCAGCAAATATTCAAACTTGTGACTACCTTTGCCCTCACTAAAAGGATACTGTAAAAAAGATTCTCCATCTCCTGGTCCACTCACTGACAGTTCTGAACTGGGACTATTTGGTACCACATGAGAAAACATTCTGTGTACCGGCACGGGAAAGAGCACACCAAATATCTTGTTTTGCTTAGAGAATTCTGAAAGCTTTCCTCCCAGATCACATCTTAGGAGCTATAATAGCACAATTGTTACATCATGTGGAACGTATCTACCAAAAACTGTCACAGGTTCCACAGGAGTAGGATTTTGACTACCAACTGTTAGATAATTGCACATAACATACAATTTACATCTTTGACAGTTAGCCAAAAGTACATGAAAGCTGCTATAAAGAAAGCTAGCAAACTTATACCAAATTTTGGAACTCTGAAATGTTAACATTAGCATATGCACTTTCACATCTTAATTTTTTTTTTTTTAAGAGTTACTAGTTTAAACCAAATGATGTTGATGATGATTTTTTAAAAGAAAACAGTAACATACTTGTGTCTAATATCCATTTCTTTGATGCAGACATCTTCTCCCCCCTGCCTGCCCGGAAAGAAGCTGTCTGGAACATAATAAATATTCCAACAAAAATAAGTTGGCTTATTTTTCTCATACTGTGCATTTGGTTTTCATTAGAATTGCCCTCCAGTCTACTAGAACTTCATTTAGATGACAATAAGATCACAGCAATCGAAGTTGAAGATTTTAACCGGTATAAAGATCTTCAAAGGTAAAATTCCCATGCAGAATGCTTTTATTTGACAAAAGGTCAGACCTGGCAGGATCTCTTATTTGATACTTCTCTCGTTAATGGGCGAAAAGAGAATTAAAAGTTTTAAGTGTTTTAGTAAGAACTGCTGTAAATAAGACCAAACTTAAAAAAACCAAACCAAACATTAGCATTGTTATTACATGCCTTGCCTAGAGTTCGCAATAGAAGTGTATGTTAAGAACAGCATCTGATTACGAATTGGAATCATCATAAATTCTTACTTCTTGGCAGCTGGGTGTTGTGTAATATAGTGTGGCTTTTATATAATATCTCTTAATGTGCTAGTAGTAATATGCCTCAATTAAGCACTGCATGTATTTCTCATACTCAGAATATATGAACCTTTGTGGTCAAATTATTTATCAACAGTATTCAGTATTTTTCTCTAGCCTGTTCCTTATCAGGCCCAGGCATTTTAACTCCTTGGTCACTCATCTCACAGATCACCCCCAAAATGAGGTACACAGCAACACCAACCGATTTTTGTTTTAGGAATAGAATGCCGTTCTTGAAACTAGATTTATAGGATTTAAGAGTCATAATGGCTTTTTAATTCCAGAGAAGGCCTAAGTGTACTGGAAGGAGACACTCCATACACACCCCAAAGAAAAATATAAAAGGATGGCAGGAAAAGGGAAATTTAAGTGTTGTTTATACAAACACATGGGAACACTGGTAAATTGTAAGAGAACATAAATTCACCTCCTGCAAGCTAGCCTGAGAGAAATACAGTAGCTGGTAAAGGAAACAACTTGATAACTGTTTCCAAATGTGATGGGGTTTAAGAAAAAGAAAAACAAGCATGTTTCTGAGGAATGCATCACCGATGTAGGACAAAAGAAGGAAGTTCTTTCCGTAAAGCTCACTTAAGTACTCTGAAAATATGGCTGAGCAGCACTGAATTTTGGATTTGGTAATAGAAACTACTATCAAAGAGGAACTATGGAACTGCATTTAGATACCAAGTTCAGTTTCTGAAGAAATCAAGAAAGGAAGGAGAAAAAGGGGATTGCAGGATGTGTGGAAACAGCAATTCCAAACTGGCCTGTGCCTCCACCTTCTGAATCATGCTCCTAGCAACACAGGCTGAAGTCTTATAGCAAAAAATCTAACTAAGGCCTAAAGTAAGGAAAATGTGGAAGTAGGAAAGAAGGTAGTCCTGCTTATTTACAAAATATAAATTTTTTGACTAAGCTATATGTAACTATTTCTTTATAAGAAATGTGCACTTCTTTGGCTATTTATTAGAACAACACTTTTTATTACTGTGAGTATACTTTGTAGCTAGACTACTTGATAAAAGGGCATGATTTATTTTACAAGCAGATTGGTTGATGTTTATCATTTTAACTCTTGCCACTAAAAGTAGAAAAACTGTATGTAAAACTGGACAATTGCTCACATCAGGTTAGCTGCCGTCCTTTAAGTAGAGATTAAATTAAGAAGAAAAAAAAATATTTGTTAGAACAATGATGTGGGTTTTTTTTTTTTCCTATCAGAGGTAAGATTTCATCATCTTTCCCCAGTTCTTTTTTTCCCCTATGTCTACTCCTGTGTATTTCAATCTTTAAAAAAAAAAAAAAAAGTATGCTCTTCAATGCCATTGTGAATCTTAATTAATCTTTAATTAAATGTTCCTTGTACTATTTCTAGACTAGGCCTTGGGAATAATAAAATCAAAGATGTGGAAAACGGAAGTTTTGCCAACATACCAAGTATACGTGAAATCCATCTTGAAAAAAATAAGCTCAAGAAAGTTCCTCCTGGATTACCCGAACTGAAATATCTACAGGTCATATATTAAACTTAATAGAAAGCTCTGGTAGTTATGAGTTGTTTGACTTTCACACTGCCATACTGATTAGGACATAATTAAAAAGCATAATTAACTGTCACATATATTTTGACATGACTCTCATACTAGGAAAACCTGAAAGCCTATATGTACTTGAAGAAATAAACAAGATCAAACAGCAGGAACATTTCCTAGGAAAAAAAAAAAAAAAAAAAAAAAGAAAACAGCATGCTACACCCAGAAAATGTTTTTAGAAAGTTTTCTACAGACTTATTATAGTTCCCATATTAGCAAGCCAGAGTGGAAATTTTTCCATTTCCACGCTGAAAAGCCTTAAATCCAAAGAAAATTATTTATGAGGCTGAAATGCTGAGATAAGGTTTTAAAATTTGTATTTAGAACTAGATAAATTCTGCAATAAAATGCTTTTAAAACACATTTATTTCCTAATTCTGGAATAGCAATTAAAATCAAATACGTTTTATAAGATGACATATACCTTAGGATGCAGAGCAGAAGAAAGCTTGGGGAAACACAGAAATGCATAGATGACAGAGCACGATAAACTATTTGGTAAAAGCTTTTATCTCTGAATTTCATTTCTTTCCACTTCTCATTTCACTTCCAATTCAAGGAAAATCTTTTGAGAGATATATATAGAAAAAAACCACAAAGTCCAAACATCAACTTACAACATAATGTAAAATTAGATATACAAACAAAAGAATTCTTTTGTCAATGTACGTTGTTTTACTTAATAAATTCTAAACTCTACTATCACAAGCCCTTTTTTTTTTACTAATTTAAGCTACATCAGCATTAGACTTACCTGTTCCTATAACCATACTGACAAATCTCTTCCAATATCAAGTCTTCCAGAGACTACTGTTTAAAATTTATTAAATCACTGAAAATTTGCATTATGGGAGAATATAATACTGCATCATTATAATTCTTACTATAAGAGAATAGAAAACTGCATTTTAGGAGAATGTTCCATAAGAATACAGTCAAATTATTCTGACAACATACTGATAAAATACCATATAACTTTTTTTTTGTGGGAGAGACTGTCGCAGGAGGGAAACATTTTTTAAAGATTTAACACAAATTTTTAATTCCTGTTACTATTAAAGTCTGCATCCAACTGATCTTATAGCAAACCTCAGTTATCTCTTTGCAACTGAATGTTTAGATATTTTTCCCCATTTACATACTAACTATTATATTTTACTGTTTCTTATTGCTGCAGGTACTCTTCCTTCATTCTAATCATATTGCAAAACTGGGAGTGAATGATTTCTGTCCAACAGGAGGAAGAAAGAAGAAAGCATTATACAGTGGCATAAGCCTCTTCAATAATCCTGTAAAGTACTGGGAGGTTCAGCCTTCAACTTTCCGTTGCATTTTAGCCAGAAACAGCGTGCAACTTGGAAATTTCCTCAAGTGATACTGAAGTTGGTCATTTCAAAAAGCAAGCTGTCCAAATCAGTTCTACAATACTTGAAATTTGCAGAAAAATGTCAATTTTACACTATTTAACCAGTTTACAAAGTATTTACTATTTCAGAGATAATTAGAAACAGTATGTTAGTAGGATCCATTGTAGTATTTGACAATGTTCAACCTATATTTGAATAATTTAAACAAAAGCCTTTGTATCTTACGGAAGGACCTTGGAAGTGGAACTGGAAACTGTATTTGATGTTTCCTATTATAGATGTTAAATTCTTTACTTAAATCACATAGTTTTGACATATTCTTTCTTTCAAAACAATTCTAAAAATCAAGTGGAAGTGACTTTTTCCACAGTAAGGACCTTTTCCTCTGCCAAAAAGTGTTGTAAGACAAGTTGCAAAAAAAATTATCAGACTTCAAGGACAACTTCTTGTGCCATTTTTGATAATCAGCAAAGATGCAATAAAAAGGTACGGTATTGTGAGGTGTTTTGTCCCTAAACTAGAACATATTTTTATAATCTATTAAGAGAGATAAAGGCAGGTTACATACCAAGAACTAACACGCAAAAAAACTTTAAAAGTTTCTGGTATTTTTTCTTGCAACTTTAAGAGAGAAATGTCCTTCAATGTTTTGCTATCAATATAATTTGATGCACTCTGAACACTAAAAAGTAGGATTCAAGATTTATCATATGCTTCAAGCTTAATAGGAATGATTATTAAACTCCCTTTAGGCCAGCACAAACATTTTCTTTTATCTATAACAATTGTAATCATGTCTTTCATTTAATTTTTTCCTCTTTTATATTTTGACACCACACGGGTTAAGAATCCCTCATTAATGTAAGTACCTTAAAATTGCTGAATGCAAGCAGATAGCTGGAACTCAACTACCCTGACTTCTTCGTAGGTCAGCACACAGAATTCTCAATACTGACAGTACTGTATAAAATGGATATTTTATGTATCTATTTAGTGTATATTTGCTATTGGGATTCAAAATAAATTAAACAAACTTAAAGAATACTTGCATTTGTATACTTGATTACATGATAGGTCATGTCAAAAAATTCAGAGATTATAACTAAACACCTTTCGGACTCTTCTCTAGATATTTTCTCTATTCTTCCTTTTTCCAAATCTGCATACCTTGCGGATCATTTATCACTGCTGTTCTTCACAAAGTTAAAAATTCAATGCTTTATTTGAAGTGGCTATGGGAAATGACATAGACTAGTAGTAGAAAAAATACTACATAGAAATCAAGCAGTTCCCAATCTATCAGCCTGTCTACCACCTCCCTAAGTACACTAAGCAATAAGCATCAAGTCTAACATCTGATTTTTTTCATCTGCTTGATCTCTTTGTATTTAATATTTTGTTAGCACCACTATACTGTTGAGAGCCAAAACCACATGGGGAGAGGAGGGAGGGCAGGCCAGGAGAGGCTTTTACTAAAGAACAGTTTTTGCAAATAGAAATTCTGTAAAACACTTCAAGGCAGAATAAAACCAAACCAAAACACTAAACAAAACACAAAACCCAATACAAATCTTCAGATCACCAAGCATCTTTCTATTCTTGGCTTCTGAAGATGTTTAAGGAGTGCATTTCCTAGCAAATAACATGAGGAAAGCAGTGATCAGTACTGAAAATAGTAGTTAATGAGTATATTCTTCATCAGTTGGTCTAGTTTATATCATGGACTTCTTTAGCCATAGCTATGTCATCATGCATGAAGAGCTATGATGTCTAAACATAGACTGGTGTTAGAAGACAAGCCTGATGTATATATAGGAAAAAAGGCAATACTTTCAAGTAGATTTTTCCACTAGGGAATTAGTTACTACGCTCATAGGAAAGACAGAACTGTTGTGTACAGTTCATACAAGGAATGCATATCAGCTTTCACTGCAACTCTGCATTCCCAGCGAAGACACAGTCTGAGCCTCTCCATATGTTGCACTTTAAATAAATCCAACAGTAACAAATCCAACAAGGCTATAGAGGGAAACAGCCAACTCTTTAAGGCACCTCTAGAAGATTTATGTGGAGCATGGAAGAATGTTGAAAAGAGCAAGGGCAGAAATAAGTAAGTGAGAATGAAACAGCCTAGTAACATAAAGAATAACACACCACACAGACTAGTCATTTACCCTAGAGTAAATCATCGTCACACAAAATCTTTACATTCATACTGAAGCAGGTGCACCTACTACTTCATGGTAACAGCCTAAGTGCACATTCATATCCTCTGAGAAATACCAGCCTTCTCTTGATGATAGGCTACCCTGCCTTACACTACCATAAACAGCTCATCACCCCATACCAGAGAGACAAAGCATTGTCAATAACAACTAACTGTCCAAGAAGAAAGTGAAGATTTGAAAGAAGTGCCCATTCTTATCTAGTAACAGCTAAAAAGCTGAAGTCCTTAACGTTTCACAAAAGGTTCACTGCTTATAAAGTTTACTATCAAAAAGACAGAGTAAAGGCAAATAAAGGATGAGGCAGGAAAATCTGTAGACAACCAGAGGGTAATCAAGAGCCAAAAAAGATTTGAGAGACTTCCACTGGAAAAGACTGGTCAAATAGCAACATAACAGCAAAAAAAAGTCCAATCCTAAAGACGGTTAAGAATGAAACATGGAAGGAAAATTTCCAAATCTTTTCTCTCCTTTGTAGAACACTAAGCTGACAGTTTTCACCTCGAGTAAGTGGGGTGAAGGTGGACTTCAATCAAATCTTCAGTTGCAAGCACAACAAAGAGCAAGTACAATGCTAGTAAAAAGAATAGAATTGATAACAGAAAAATAATTACATTTATATGAATCACTAGTTTAAATGTATTCTTAAACACTTGTGCTATACTAGTTACACCAATTCAGCAATGACAACATAAATAGAAAAGCTGGTGCGAATTCTGCAGCTTAACTGAAAGAATAAACTCACAGTGTAATGCAATACATTATTCTGCACTAATTTAGTGGTAAGGATTAAAAGGAAACGTAAAAGAGAAAGCAAACAACTCCTTATCTAATGGAAGCTTATGCAATGGGAAACAAGAACGCTGCATCTGCCAAGACTAAGACATTTAAGACGACGGACTAAGGTCTGAACAGGTGTAGAACAACTTCTGCTTCCTTTTGTTAGGCTACACCTCTCTACCCCAAAGCAGGCCAATTCAACCAACCCACTGCTAATAAACCTCCTCAGCAGCAAGGAGCTCTTGGAAGCAATTACGTATATTCTCAGTAAATCTTAATAACTGCATTTTGCGTAAGATTTCCAAACATAACAAAGGCCCACAGGTGAGCAGGCTGCCACACAAAAAAATAAAATCCCTCTTGCTTTTGTTCTAACTGCCCAGGTTCCTATGACTAACCACCAGGCACACGTAAGAAAAATGGCCACGGGGCTTTTTGGTCTCCTAAGGCAAGGAGTTTTGGCTAGTTAATGATCCTAATACAGGCTCCAGAAAGTGTACTCAGTCTTGGACCTCATCTGAAACTTCCCTTGGGGCATGGCTTTAGCAGGGTAGTCCTAGTCCCAACACTGGTTAATATTTTCTAAACCTAAGAATTCTTTACAGGTACTCTCGTAAGAGTTTCATCAAATTCTAGGTCCACTCTTGAAATCAATATAATGTGAAAGCTTTGTAGAAATGTAGCAGTCCTAAGAGGTAGAAGACTATATAGTCTTGATTTTACCCTTCCAAAGCGTTAAAAACTATTGCCTTCTCATTCTTTCCTCTTTGCCATGCATTCAGACTGAGATACTCTTTCTACAGTCAGCATCCATGGATACATATAACATTCACAGAAGAAACTGCAACACTATTTTGAAGATACCACCTCCACTCTCACACCTAATAAATCTCTAAAGGATTTTATGAACTGCTTAGGTTTTTATCATCTTCAAGGCAAGTTCAGCTAGCTTCGAAGTTTAAAAAACTTTGTGAATTAAACAACATTGGTAATTTTGCATTAAGACAGGTAAGTATCAAATGGTTCATTCTGTTTCCTGTAAGAGTTATTTTTAGAGAAAAGACAGTAATTTCCCATATCACGTACAGAAATTCATAGGATGTCTGTCACCTATGAGAAAAAAAATACGTTCAATGACCCTCCACTATTTTCAGATATCATTCTTCAGCTAGCATTTGTGGGCAATAATAACTAATAATTTGCACACCTTTTATCTTTAGCATACTTTAACATAAACCCAAGTGGATCACAATGACATACAGATATTACAATATAAAATGCACCTTACACAGTTTCAGCAATGATTTCTGAATATGGACCGCAATGAAATTAACAGAACAATAGCTAACTAATGATAATACACTGGTGTTCAACAGTCTTTCCACAGAACAAGGCAGTTCAGTATCAGCAGACAGGGAGAAAAACTGTCAAGAAATCAACTCCACCTTTACATTCTCCACAGATGTTACGGAAAAAGGAAAGAGGGAGAAAGATTTGATAGAAATCCTTCTAAGAGCCTTTTCTTACTACTTATTCCTTATACAAGTAACTATATTCCTCTAATAAAAAAATTAACATTTATTACGTCTAAGATTTCCAAACTTTAATGGGCTTCTCTCTTCCGAAAAAAATCTGTCAGGTCCCTACAAGACGACAATTAACAAATTTCACCAGAGGATGGCAGCCTATTGTTACCAATAGAAGGAAAAGTAATTCTAAAGAATAAATAACAAATACTGTTATTGCACAGTAACAGCCCAGTAAACTTCACAAATACTGATTAAGCAGAGTAGCCTATTTGAGTACTAAAGTACTATTTGAATACTTCTAAAGACTGAGTTCTATGTCCTGCTCTACACCATTAACTTGCCAAAGGATGAAATAACCTTATGTCTCTAGTCTTCTCTCTGCCTCAAAAAAACTTTCCCTAATCAACCTACTTAATGCAGTACTTTAAAACACAGCAATACAAAGAATAATACAGAAGTTACACAACATTAGTAGAAAAATAACAAACTTAAGATACTGAAAGTTTAAAGAATATAAGATATTATCAAATCATTTTAACTTGCACCATCAGCTATGGCAAGCGTATACCATGTAAATCAAAACATACATTCAATAAAACAGGATTTCTTTCATATCCATATTGAAAAGCCAAACAAACAAAAACAAAACTTTGAAGTGCCGAACTACTTCAGTTTGAGATGTAAGTTTGTTCTGCAAGCAAGACACCTAACGAAGAATAGTTTTGTAAAGATACCTATGCCATGCAAC